GAGCTTAGGATGGGGTGTGAGAGGGGACAGAGCTGATGGAAGCAGAGGGGTTGCGGGAGTGCAGGGGTTGCCGGCTCACGAGCCATAAGCGGCTCTTATGGTTCGTCCATGTGGATCTGAAGTGAAATGGAAACAGATGATAGTGGTTTCCTCTTTAAAAATAGATTTAAGGCTCTTGAATGATTTCTAAGTTGTTGCAAGGGACAGGAGTGGCTCTTCCATCTCCAACGTTTGCCGGCCCCTGGTCTAGCGGAAAGCACTCTGGCCGGTCAAGGAGATGGGCAGGATACGCTCCCCCACGGAGCTGTGCCCTTTGCTTGGACCCCCTCAGAAGGACTGGACATCCGGTCAGCACTTGATGGAGCAGCCTGGGTTTATCTCACCCTTTGGGCCATGGCTCTAAATCTGACTCTGGGCACGTGCTTGCGTACTTGGACAGCATTTGGAGGCTTCTTGCAAGGCCCACATCAAAGCTCTGGATCCCCAAGTTGTGTCTCACTAAGTGGGTGGTACACATGGTTCACGAGCTTACCTGCTGACCTGAGGCTCCCTCCTCAGGGTCTGGCATGGTGGAGGGACAGGAGGGGATCGGTCTCCCCATGCCAAAAGCAGAGCTGGTCTCCTTTCTGCAGCAGGTCACCATGACCTGGTGGTGGCTGCTCCTGTTCGGGCTGTGGACAGTCACACCTGCCTGGACTGGGGACAAACGACTCGCTGTCTGCATGAACACCAGCCACCATAAGCAAGCGCCTGGCCCAGAAGACAAGCTCTATGAGGAGGTACAGAGGCCAGACCTGACCCAGGGCGGAGGGAGAGACACAAGGGGCACAATGTTCTCAGTAGCCCCAGCAGCTCGGGCTCACGTGGGTCCTGGGGTCGGGATTGGGGCAAAGGCAGCCAGCAGGAGACCATGGCCTTGGCAGGCCGGAAGAGTCCAGGGATCTAACCTTCTCATCTCAGAACAGTGGCCCCTCCCCTGCTCCAACACCAAACCCATGGTTGATTCATCTCAGATAAAAATAAGCCTGTCCTCCCTCCTAGGGACCTGGAGGGAGGAGTGTGAGGTGAACAAGCATTTAGTCTGTGCATCCTTCTTAGAGGCGTGCACCCTCCTATTCAGTGCAATCCCAGATTCCTGGGTCTCCTTGGCCTGCCTCCACCTGCTTCCCCCAGAGGCCTCCATCACTTCTCAATGACTGAAACCCTGGAAGTTGAGCTTCTGGGAAGCTTCAGCAGCAGCCTGTGGTCGAGAGGTCAGTGTGTGCAGGGTGCCTTCTGACCTTGAATGTGAACCCTGGCAAATACTCAGGATTCTTCCACCAATCAAAGGAGCTCAGGAGTCACAATTAAGTGCTCAGCTGCTAACGGGAAACTCGGCAGTTCAAATATGTCTAGATATCAAACACATGTGACAAAGACATGGTGATCGGCTCCCATAAAGCTGCTAACCTAGAAAACACTGGGGGCAGCTCCGCTCAGGCTTGCTAAGAGTCAGGATTGATTGGACAGCAATAACCCCATAATTAGGGAAGGGGCGGCGAGCCTAAAGCGAGCCCACCATCCCAGGTCCTCTCCTGAGAGGCATTTTTATTCTGTTCTCTTGATTCCTAGATTGGAGCCTCGGGGTGGGATCGTGGGTTACAAGTTGGGCTGCTCACTGCAAGGTCAGCAGTTCAAAACCAACGGCCACTCTGTGGGAGAAAGGTGAGGCTTTGTGCTCCTGTAAAGATTTACAGACTCAGAAACGCAAAGGGACCATTCTCCTCTGTCCTGTAGGGTCACCATGAGCTGGAATTGGCTCGATGGCCAAGGGTTTGATTTGGGGTGTCGTGCTCTCTGTTCCCTCTTCCATCCAGTGTATGCCCTGGAAGGATAACTCCTGTTGCACCACCGACGCCAGCTGGGAAGCCCACCTGGAAGTGTCGCGGCTCCACAACTTCAGCTTGACTCACTGCGGCCTCCTGACTCCCAGCTGTCAGAAACACATCATCCAGGCCATCTGCTTCTACGCCTGCTCCCCAAACCTGGGGCCTTGGATCCGGCAGGTGGGGAGGCCAGGTGTGGGGCAGGGGGCAGATGAATGCAAAGCCTGTTACTAAGAGCCTAGGTGCCCATCCTGAGTGCCAATAGAAGCAGGAGATGCTGGCCCTCTGGGTACTGAGCAGAGGCCCCAGTGGGCGAAGGAGCAGAGATGAACCTGCTTCCAACCTTGAGAGGCCAGTGGGGGAAACTGGCCCAATGGGAACAGTAGGATGAAGGACATTATCTATGGTGGAGTTGGATGGACTAGAGTTCAAATCGCTTCTTTCCAGCTCTTAGCTGCATGAGCTGGGACGAACCTTTACGAGTCTTTTGGCCTCACCTGTAAAAAAAGTAGTACCTCATTGTGCAAAGACAGAGGTGGTACCTGACACCATCTATGAAGAGTCTTTAAACAGCTGCCCGTACTGTATCTGTGTCTGCCTGCGCCCAGGTGGCCCCGCGCG